CATAAATCGAATTGAAAACTCTTGAGTTTTGTAACGAGGACGTGCCAAAAATGAAACTTGAAACAGCCAAATCTTAAAATATGGAATTGACTTCCTTGTTACGTTTGCTATGGGACAACATGAGGTGTGTAACTTGACAAATTAAAGTTTTAAAAAAAGAGATTGTCGCTTGTTTCATTATGTATGGGAAATCATCCTCGCAAACTTTACCTGTTCTTTCAGCCGTTGAGAAGACTCATCTACTTCGCCGCGGACCGTCGAGAGTTCAAACTCCTTCTGCTTAAGCTGCAAATAAAAGAATGGTATACAAATCCAACTTCTGTTAAGTTCCCTGAGCACAGCTACAAAAAGGACTACCTCAACACTAAAAGCAATAGCAATAGCTGAACGCATAGGGAAACAGTACCATAGGAACTCTACAGCAAGAAACAGGTTTGCATCACAGCTCAGGATAGCGTATAATCTTGTAATCACGACAAATGTTTCAGTAAGAGTGTCATCATAGCTGTGAATACATATCGGGAAACAGAAGAGACTCCACTAGTTTAACTTTTCCTTGTTAGTTTTTGAAGTCTCTGCGCTCCACATGAGAATATTGTTTAGGTAACAGCAGGCGACAAACCTGATCAAGGAGTTGCTGAGAAGACACGTCAAGTTCGTCTCGGAGTGAAGAAATCACACTTTCTCCTTTGATTACCTATCAAAAAAGACACCAAGATGAGTAAATTCCAGGATCGTGCCATCAATTCTCCCAACTGATCGTCACATATATCCACTAACTTGAGTTCCGAGAACTTCGTGGTACATCGGGTCCACACCCTCTATTTGACTGTTGATAATCTTTTTCATTCTATTCACGTGTCTGCCTGACAGAGTACTGATATTGTAGGAAGCGAGAAAGCGTTTTTGTCGAACAAGTCAAAAAACTTTCCACGACATTGTTTCCCAAAGAAAATAACCGCTTCAAACTTTAATCTTGGCTACTGTGTGTGCACTGCTGAAGCTTGCTAACAGACAAAAATACTACTTACAGTACTATTACTTCCACTACTTACAACACAAGACACTGAACTGTAGCTGACATCGAGATGATTATTGCAAATGACAAATGCGCTCACCTCTTCTCTAAGATTGCTAGAAACAGCTTGCAGCTCTTCTGTCAGTGACTGGACTTCGGCATTCCTTGTAGAAAGCTAAACACAAGGAAACAATAAAAGTGCTAAGACTTTGAAGTATGGTGGAAAATTGCGAGACTTCTTACCTTCTTGTGAAACATAATGCCAAGGGTACAAAGTCATTAGGGAGACAAACTCTCTAATTTTAATACTAAACGCAAGTTAAAGATTGAAGGGAAAAAGGCATGGACAATAAATGAATCCAGGCAAAACTCGATACAGTATACTCTATAAAACTACAATTGTACATACTATAAGCAGACACCGTACGTAACATAGATAGCACGTGTTAAGGACATTAGATTTGGTGAGGCGTATATCTATTGACCTGTTGGAATTCCTCAATTACACCTTGCCTTTATTAAGCTATCTGAAGACTGGATGTTCAATCATGGCCTTTTGACTATGTAGGTCTAAAAATGCAGCTTTTCTTGTCAGCCACGACCGAGGCCATGATTGAGTGTCCATTAATGTGTGCCGCGATAGAAGAGAGGCTACACAAATTGCATCCAGTCATTTGAAGTGAATACAGGAAAAATCTTAAGCCTATACGTTACTCAATTATATCCTGTACGCGTTGGAGGACTAAGTTAGAGAGGAAATAAAACCTTGTTGATTTCTAGTCTAAATCCACTCACCAACTGTTTGGATTCCTCCAGTTCAACTCCCATTTCACTGAGTTTAGCCGCTAGTTCTTTAGCCATGTGCCGTTCTGTTTCCAAAGTAGTAGTTAGCTCCATATTTTCTTGACTCTGTCACATGAACAAAGTGTCAATTCACAATTCTTAAAGTCTAATACCTGTTATTGTGAAGTGGCTCTGTCATCATTTAAAACAAGAGAGATTTTCCATTTTGCAAAATCATTATGTACATGTACATGTACATGTACACCTGTACCTGTTCGCTGTTACGCCACGAAATGAAATGATCACGTAATCAAGAGTATGCGCATGCACGGAAAAATACCATTGTCACTTTTTTTGCTTGAAAATTGATACACTCATTAACGTCTAACATGATGGCAGAAATCTTAGTAGAGTATATTAATATTCTTGGCACCAGCATGGACTGTTTTACTTCATAACACAAAAGGGTCATCAAATACATTTTACAATTAGGAAATTCATACCATCGTTATAAATCTCTCCTCTAACTCTTCAGTTTTCGTTTTCAGTTCTTTGTTCTGTTTTAAAGCTCTGCAAAGAACAGAAACAGTTGAGGTGTTGAGATATGTCAACCTTCAGTGCTACACGAGGTATATAAATCCTAGTATGCAGACAAACTACTGCCATAAACCATAGTTTGAAAGGAGACTACTCCAATCAAGAAACAAAATTGCAGTTTTCTGTTTAGTCAAGCCCCCCTGACCTGCTTATGGTCTCCTTATCACTCTGAACACTTTCCAGGAGGGTGGCTCTATCAATAGACTCCTCTCCCAGGCGAGCCACTACTGTCTCTAACTCTTGTATTCTCAGCAGATATCGTTCTTGCTCCCTAAGGTTGATAAAGAATAAAGCATTCAATGAGTGACACAGAGATTGCTACAGGCTCATAAGTTTTTCAACCTTTACAAATAGAAAAGTGAGTACTTTGAAAGAAATGCATACCTTAAAAGTCTTGAATTTTCCTTGCCCTGCCAGAATGAAAAGAAAAAACACCTTAAAACTCAAGCACAACAAAGAAAAGAACGGATTTCCCATCAGATTCTACAAACTGGTGATGAGTTACCTGGGCCAAAAAGTGATGCTAATGAGATGCAACAGATCACAGTACAGGAACAATGTGTGTAAATCATTACAACAACTTGTGAAAAAAGTTAGTAGCCACTGCAAACACTGCACTGAGGAAACTTTACTCGGGCTTTATAATGTGCACACAGGCAAAGTTGAGGAAGTTAAAGCATTCTTTTAAAAAGTGAAAAAGCAAGAGAAAAGAGGAAAATAGAGTAGGGAAACAAGTCAGTGTTAATACAGATCATACCTCTTGCTGTAAGTGTTCAGCCAATCTTTGTTTATCCTCCGCTAATCTTTCAATCTCAGCTGCGGCAAGTTGAGTGGATTCCACTTGTTGACTGGCTTCATCGTCTTGCAGATCAGCTTTATACATGTATACATAAAAGCAAGGATGTCAATAAAATAAGTTTGTAGATTTAGGTTACATGTGCATGAATGCATTACTTTTCTACCTAGAGCCCAGAGCTCAGGAGTTTGACTGACATATATTATTATTTTTTATGACATACATGTACCTAGTTCCTTCTGCAAACTCTGAATGCTTTCTTGAAGTTCACTCTCTTGAGCAATCAAAAGCCTCTTTTCTCTATCATGTAACTCCACCTTCAATAAAAAAGAATATGAGAAGCATTAACTTACGAGCTTTCTTTGTTTCCAGGAAGTGGTTTGGCATGGCAGAAAGTTTACCATTTCCATATTTCTACTATATTATTGTTCAATTGTATTTCTTTGATTGAAAACCTTAAGTGTCCTGTAGAATTTTATATGCAATTTTTTTTTAAAATGAAGTCCCTCCCCTTTAATGAGCACCTTCCCTTCTTTATGACAATGCAGTGTCAAATAATTTCACTGAAATTAGACCTCTAAAATACTCAACGGTTTCAAACTAAGATACACAGCAAACAATTTATTGATCAACTGTTATAAATCTTTGAATGCTGGAAAATGATGAATTAAGCTCTCTGCACTTGTCTGCAACACTGAGTCAAGGTCTGTTGGAAAGTTAGCAATCAAATGTATGGAACCCTGAAATAATTATATTGGCAGAAATAAACCAAGCAAAGGAATTCCATAAACATCTTAATCAACAGCCATGTATTTACGTAAGATAAACTGACCTCTTCTGTCAGTGATCTTATTCTTCTCTCGTACTGATCCACTTCATCTGCATGCTGCTGTAAAAGTTCTCCTTTATCAGCAGCTAGTCTTTGCACTGTGGCATTGATCTGTGATCATGACAGATGAATAACGACATCTCTTAGCTCCTCAACACTCCTTAATATTTTTCTTACATTTTTCATCAGTTTGAGTCTCTGTCAAGAGATTTTCTTAACATGATAAGATGCTCTGTTCACACAATAATGTGAAGGAAAAGAGGAGATGGATATACGTTGTGTAGATAATTACAGTACACAGTAGTCTCTCTAGTATGGTACAGTTCTTCAGTCTTGTACAGACCTGCTGTTGGTGACTGAAGTTTAGACCTGAGCGGAAGTACCTCAAATATCAAGCTAGTGAATTGTTTTTTTTCTGTGTTAAATTAAAATAATCATTTGGTTTTGCTGTGTTCTTATTAGTTATAGGAACCACAAAATTTGACACAAGTAATTGGTCAGTTCTAGTTGAAGTTGAAGTTCTACATGTAAGTAGTTTCAATCCATTTAGTCTCATTCTGTTTGAGGGCCAATTGTTGGGTTTGCTTATCTTGTGAATAAGCAGTTTGTAAGATGGTGGTAGTTATTAATTCTACACATAAACACAGCATACCACTACTACAATATTGAAGCTGGATAAATTGCTTACCTAAACCACAGACCGCCTAGTTTAAATTACAGAAGTGTGCTGATACATGTACACCTTACCTGTTCTAATTTATTTTCAAACTCTGCTTTCTCGTTTTGTAACTGTTCAACTAACTTCTGGCTCGCTGAAGAGTTTGGCTCTCCTGAAAGCTGCCACAAAACAACAGGAATTATTTTTTTACTGCGCCTTTCAATAACATGTGGACTCTAACATTTAAATTTATTTATTTATTATTAAAGCTCAATCGACAAATGTATTTTTCACTACCGTCAATCAAATGTTCGGTGGCTCCTCCCAGCTTCCCACTACTGCCAGGCATGCAGTAATCAAATCATTGAGCACAGTTCAGACAACGAAACAGTGTTTGGAAGTAGTCAAAAACCGGGAGGAGCCACTGAACATTTGATTGATGGCAGTGAAAAATGCTTTTGTCGGTCAAGCTCTGAATTTTAGAGTCCGCATGTTATTGAAAGGCGCAGTAATTAGAGTGTGCTGAGAAATGTGAGAACTTAGAATCACATGTACATGTACAAGTCGTCACTATGATGTGGTAGGCCAAAAGTCATTCTCACTAAGCCCTCTAAAATGTCTAACTGGAGTGACAAATTAATTTAAAATTAACTCATCATGACAACTGCATCTCTTATAGAACTTTGCTAATTTGNAAAAAAAAAAAAAAAAAAAAAAAAAAAAACTGAAAAATTGTTTGTCCATCAGGTAAGCAATGCACAGAATCCATTAACAAGACCACAAAATCTACTACCCCTGGGCTATCAAACATGAATTTTTGCAGTCAGTAGGAATGAGCAAAAACTCAAAAGATGCATGACACTATGCAATAAATTAAATGCGAGGCTCAAAAGGCTCTGAAAAAGTGTCAAATAGTTGCTTGTAAACTAAATGTTTCAGGCTTGGCCCTTCTTTACCAAGCCTGAAATGCTCAGTTTACAAGCAACTATTTGACACTTTTGAGAGCCTTTTGAACCTCGTATTTAATGAATTTTTGCATGCTGCCAAGTGAACCCGGTGAACAAAGGAAACCAGGCAAACTGGGCAAACCAGCCAAGTAAGGCAAATGAACCAGGTAAACTAAGTGAACCAGCGAAGTGCACCATGTGAACCAACTGAACATGACAAGTGAACCAAGTTAAACAACTGTATCAGCCAACTGAACTACTGTAACCAGGTCAACCAGCCAAGAGAACAACAACAGCCAAGTGAACCAACAAAGTGGACCATGTGAACCAAGTGAACCAGCAAAGTGAACTGCTCAAGTGAACCAGGTGAAGTAAGTAACCCAGCCAAGTCCAATGCACCACCAACAGTCTGGCCTCAAGGACATGTTATTGTCTTTCTTATTTGCCACAAGTTTCTTCTGTTTCTCACATGTATGTCTACTAGCACATACTTGCTAGCTTTAGGATCAAGTTTTTGCTCACAAACTCTAAAAGCCACAGACCGGCATTTTGTGGGATTACTAGTCTAAGAGGAAATTTCAAGCTCTACATTATTGTCACCCAGCTGTACTACATTGTATACCCAAAGTTATATGAGCAATACATAATTATCCTTCTTTCAAAGTGCAGTAAATCTTTTTTCAAAAAACTGACAAACCTGTTGAACAACAAGTTGTGCTTGTTTCAGTTTGAATGACAACTCTGATTCAGTCTTCCTTAATTCTTCAAACTCAGCAACCTGAAAAGTTAACAAAAACACTAAAATGAACGGTTTGGTCCCAAGCTGCAAGTATTTGTTTGTCTCCTGTATAGTGCATAAAATATGTTTGGATATAAATATAGCTTGGATGTAGCATGTTCAAAGTTACTGGTACTATTCACTATTTAAACTAGATGAGCCTTGCTGTCCATTTATACAGCCTGTGGTATGTATCAGTGTATGTATCATTTTCCGTTCTGCACAGCAGATGTCATCACATACTTCATGTAATTGCTTGTTTTCCTGGTAATAAAAATAATCTTTACATGCGTTGTGCATTTTGTTGAGGTCTGAAACAGAAACAAGTGAAATTGGTGATGTTATGCTTCAAAACTGACTTGGTATACACACCTTAGCTTCTAACTTTACTCTGAGCTCAGCATTTTGTTGTAATAGTTCTTCTTTTTCCTGACTGAAAACAGATTCAAAACACAACAATTTGATCCAATTGCATACTAGTTACATTTAAAATTCAAAGATTATTATGAGGATTATTATTATACTACAAGTACACACATCAAAATGGTAATGTCAAAGAAACATACTTTTGAGTGTAATTTGCTGTCTGGTATTTATCCCTCTCTTGCCGAAGTTGCTTTGCATCCTTTGAGAAAACAAATAAAACATAAGATTGAGCACTGTATACAGTTAAGTCCTGGTTCCACTACAATATACAAGGTTTTGTTTTGTACCTGATCAAATTGTACTAATTGGTCAAAATATGGTCATAGTCGCATGCACAAGTTCCGCATGGTAGAATTTCATGAAAGGTACACATGGCATGCTACAAATCATACCACAGTAATCTATAGATCATTACCTGTAGTGTTTTTTATATAGGTAATCATACAGTTTCGAGTTCAATTTGGAATTAATTTTCCCAAGTGAGCTTTTTGAAACAATCACAAGTGCAAACTAATTCCAAAATGAACGAGAAAAATGGTATGATTACTTATAATCATATAAACATGAAAAAAATTGCTTGGAGGAAGTGAGGGAAGATCTTTCTTGAAGCCATTTTTTCTCATTTGACAAAATTTTCATCACCATTTTACGTGATATCATTTGCTTAGAAAATTTCCTTTTTCTTTCAGCCAATCATAATCCAGAATTACATGTATAATTTGCACTGGTGTTACATTTTGCACTGCTCTCAGCCAATAAGAACTGAGTAATTTTTTCATGTATATTATCAGTAAAGTTACATGTTACATGTACATGTGCCTTAGATTCACTAATAGAGATACTTACATCTTGGTACTTATCACAGCTTGCTGTGACATTTGCCAGATTCTTCTCAAGCTCGGCTGCTTTTTGTCGCACAGTTTGTAATCTGCTTGTTAGTTCAGTATTTTCACCTGAAATCAAAAGAAATCAAAGAAAACGTTTCAGGAACAATAAAGAAATTGAAGAGGATTTAGTTTTATAGACAGAAATAAGCTTTCCTCCTAACATTATCTATTGATCAAGAATACTTTCTTTTGTGTCCAAATACACATACTCTTTATATTGGAGGCATTATATATATAACATTAAAAAAAACTCCATAGTCATTATACATGCACCTACATGTAACTGCCCCTTTTTAGTATATTTTGGTGGTGTATCAGGTGAGTTTGGTCGAGCCATGGCAAGACATAGTCAAGCCAAAATAGCCATGGTGAGACCAAACGAGCCTGATATCCAGCCTAAGTGTACCAAAAAGGTATGATTAGGTATTTAGTGTACCCAAATTTGGCCAAATGAGCATGATATTGTAGCCATATCAGGTCAGTAACCTGATATTGCAGGATATCAGGACAGTAGACATAGCTTCCGATTGGCTATTTGCAAATCTGGGTATGATAATTACCCAAATTAACAAAAAAAGAGGCCTGAACCATGCATTATACTGTCATGAAACAAGCCCAAAAATTTAAGAAACAAGGGAATTTAATACACATGAGCTGCAGATTGAGTGTTTTCTGAATTTCTCACACTCCCTGTGTGTGTTATAAATTACTATAGATGGTTTAGGCTTCTTTATTTGCTTTATGACATAGATTATTTAACATACATGAAAAATGCTTTCCAACATGTTATATTCTGACAAAACATAGCATTAATTTTTAGCCAATCAGAGTGTACAGAAGATCCATACTGTATTGCATGTATATAAATAAATAACACTTCCATCACAAAGGAAGGTAAGTAACACATACCTACGAGTAGTTTTGACTTCTACACATGTACTGTACATCACATGGCAAGAATTCTTTTTATAAATGCCTATTGCAAATTTAACCAGTTTACAGAACATGGCTTTGATGATTTCAGTCTGAACCTTGAAATGAATTCTCCTAACTACATGTAAAAGCCATACTTAACATTTAATTGTGATTTTGAGAATTTGGTGGCATGTCGAGACAATAACTCCCTTCTTACTAATTTTAGTTGTTTTTGGTTACTTGTCTTCAATCACACTTGTAACAAGTTGAAGATGCTGAGCTGTCTTGCAAAGAATAGGCTGTGATGTTAAACAACGGTGACTTACTTTGTTTGATTTCATATTTCCTCTGAAGTTGAGATACTGTGCTTTGTAACTCCTGCTTTTCGCCGACTAGAATTCCTATAGTCTGAATATGAACCTACAACACAAGAAATACAGAACAGTGATCGATGTTATCATGAAAAAACCAGCACAAGGCTACACAGTGAAATACATAAAGTCCATAATTTCAACATTTAGAATACAAAATTTTGCAAAGTTTATTTGAACCATAACAGATTTAAAGTTCATCTTATAATAATAAAAATAATAAAAAAATGAAAATAAAATTCAAACCCCACATTGTATTTCTTCCAAATCTGACTGTAATCAGACATTGGCCAGCTGATTTAAAGGCCTAAGAAATTATAGAATACCAGCTACTTGTACTTAAAGGTCTATAGCTGTGATGAGTTGCATATTTTAATAGCCATATAGTGTTGCTAAGAGCCACAACTTGATCCAAAAATTAATACACATTGCATAATAATTATGTTCTTCTCTACATAGAAAAAGCTACAAACAAATACTAGAAAAACCTAACACAGCTGAAGTAATGCAATGCACATGCAGGCCTCTCTTTCTGATTATCAAAACAGAGGTTTGACACTGTACGTTGCAGAAATTTCACACTTATACATGTATTACATGCATTATTCATGTACACATATACTTTGTGAAAAAAGTATACAGTGTATATGTGTCTAGATGGGCTGACTGATTTTGCAGGGATCAAGGTACACAAATGTTGAACAGACTCACAATCAAGACATTTAACTAAATTCTAAAATTAGTACATGTGTCAAATAAATTTTAATTTTAGTGATTTGTAATGCCATCTTGTAACTGCAGATAATATTGCAATGAAATAAAGGAGAGGACAATTTTTCCTTAAAAGCATACTGTAAAATGCTACATGTAAGAGTAATTTTTAAGCTCACCTCAAGCTGTTCTTTGAGAGATCGCTGTTCTAAAAGTTGCTTGTTTGCTAACTCTGTCCTTTCCTGAAGAAAATTAAATACATACAATGTACCATAAATGACAAAATTAAGCCCCTCCCCAACCTTCCTGGGGCTTATTCAAAAATTAAGCTTGCTTGATCTGGACTCCAATGCAATGACTGTTAGGTCATTGCCTACATGTAGGTTTATAGGCTATAGGCTTGGTTCTTAAGTAACATGTGTATCATGAATGCACCTGGTAAATGGCCATCTTGAGTTTCTCCATGTTTCTCCATGGATCTTCTGTACGTGTGTACTCCGATTGGCTAAAATATTCCATTATTTTACAGCATTTATTATTATGCTGTAAATAAGTATTTATCAACTTCAACATTCCAACATCTAGACCAAGACTTTGATTTTTATTGAATTAATTTTCTTCTAACACAGAAAAGGAAGCTTAAAGTTGCCACTGTACAAATGGATTGTACTTGCACTTTTCATGTGGACCATCTGTGGTTTACATGAAAAGATCACTAGCAAGGGTAGGTTGATTAATTACATGAAAAGATCACTTGCAATTGATAAACCAACCGTGTCGACTAATTCAGCTTATCTGCACAAAACGCAGGGCAGAAAAACGATATTGTGGCTAATCTTTCCCAAGTGGTGGGAATAAGATCATGATTAAGAGTACTGCTACTGTATTAAGAAATAATGTCATGCTAAGCAATTTGCTCCCAAGCACACATAGACTTGCTAATAATTATTATTTATCACTGAGCAGTAAAGACTGGCAGAGCAATGGCAATCCTTAATTAAATGTACTTATTACAGTAACTGTAAATCACATGTCCAGCTGTTCGAAGGTTTTATTCAATGCTTCAAGCTGCAACTGTTTTGGTCTCCATAGCGAATGGAAAAAAAATAATAACAACTAAAATTGCCATGAAGGTTGCCAATTCAGTGAGCCATTTTCAATACTGAAGAAATGAAAAGTTAGACAATATGCCTGCAACATTACGTTGTACCAGTAAGGTCACCAAAAGGCAACTTAAAAAAAAAAAAAATTCAGCTTGGAGCCCTGTTAATTTCATTTCTTACCCTTTTTATCTGTTCTTGAAACTGGATTATCTGTCTTCTCTGCAGTTGAATTTAAAAAATGTTTGTTTTCATTAAGTTAATACAGCATCCAACTGCAAAAACATTTTTACAGTCTGTGATTATAAAACTGACAAGTGGAAGAGTTTACAAGTTACAGTACCTGTTCATTCACTTGATTGTTTAGTTGTTCATTAGATCTCTTATATGACTGTACTCTATCCTCAAGCTCATGATTCTTACTCTACAATTGAAGACAGAAAAAAATATTTGCCATGCTTGGTAAAATTCATCATTTTCATTTGACCCTGGAAATAAGAGTTATAAAAACCAGATGTTTGCAAAAAGTTACAAAAATGTGCAAGTTCTTACTTCAAGAGACTTGATTTCATGGAATACTGGATCATCACCATTTATATAGAGATCCTGCAAAAGAAAATTCATGTTTACAATGCATTAAAATTATATCTTTTAAAAATAAATAATTACAAGATGAAATGACCACTTTCATGTATTGTAATGTGTGAGCTAACTCTTTGGTTAAGTCTGCAAATGAGCCAAGTGGCCTATCAGGCCAGAGCTTATCCTGGTTGCTGTTGCATGAAGCGACTAGGAGTATTTTAACTCCATCCCTGGATGGGATGCTAGTCCATCGCAGGGTTACCCCCCAGCATTAAATTCACCGGTACCCATCTATATACCTGGGTGGAGAGAGACACTGTGAGAGTAAAGCAATGACCTCCGCCAGGGCTCGAACCCGGACTGCTCGATCCAGAGACAAGCACACCAACCATGAGGCCACTGCCCTGCCTGAGCCAACCCTGTGAGCCAACACTAAAACAGACAGTTTGTTGAAAAATGATTGTCCTACCAGGTGCATTACCAACAGCTTTTATCAGATATGTACATATATATTTTTAATCTTGGGCAAAAGTATCAAGCTTTTAAGTGATGATAAATGTTTACTGTGTGTCTAGTATGTACATTGGCCAATCGTAAGTACATGATTGTACTGTACATGCAAATGAAGACTGACGATTCCTTTCATGTAAGGCATTTAGATACTGGACATATTTACTCCTAAGTACTTAACAGTAACAGAAACTCAGGAATCTAATGGTCACTTCTTGCCAATCTGGGTTATTGACCAAGCATAAGGTCAAGATTGCTGGATATTGGGCTCATTCTTTTTTTTGCATGTTCATGGACCGAGACAGAGTCAACATCCATAAACATGCAAAACAATGAGGCCATTCCCAATATCCAGCCACCTTGACCAAACAAGCTTGGTCAATAAAGAATTTATTATACGGAAAAAGAACACTTTTTTTTTCCCATGACACAGAGGGTAATCCTGAGCGGGCAAGATAGCGCCATCTTACTTGCTCAAGTAGCCAATCACAGCCCAGGATTTGGTTCATCTTGACCGCTCACAGAGCTGGGCAGGTATAATATTGATTAACTACCTGCTATCACACATACAGTATTCCTAACTACATAACATTAACAGAAAGAACTTTTTATTACCTGGCTCACTGTAAGTCCATTAATTTGAGAACACTGAATATGAAAACAAATTCTAGCATCAGTACTTTTTGAGTGCACTGTACATTCAATAAAAAGTGTTGAAGATCAGGTACTTTTTCAGCTGCCTTCTAAAATATACAAATGTAGGATTCATAATTCTGAGCTCTCAAGTCTAGTACATTGAACGTGAGAAACACATAAATGAATGCACACCCAAACATTAAAATTAGTAATAAAAGTTTGAACGGTTCATTTCAAGACAAAAATTAGCCACCAATATTTAGGAAATAGATAACATGTATCATGTTTCTATCAAGTTATAGAAACATGAGTGGGAGTTTGGGGGAATGAGAAATGCTGTGGGAACATGAGCCACAGGCGAGTGTTTCCACAGCTTTTTTGAGTTCTCCCAAACTTTCACGAGTGTTTCTATAACTTGATAGAAACACGGAGAACATGTTTTCTATTTCTTTTAGAAAACACCATGACAAAAAAAAGGAAAACAACTTGTTAACTTTGATTATCAAAATGTAAATTCTCTTTGCTTGCGCCATCATCATGTCAACAGCTCGTGCTAGTTCTGTGTTTCTATTGAGTTATAGAAAATGGTTTTTAACCAGTCAGCACACGTATTTTCTTAGGACTGTTTTCTAAACAATTATATGTACCTAATATGAAATTCACTTTAAGGTACAACATTGCTAGAAAAGGTCATATAACTACTTCAAATGCTTTAAACAGGGTCATGTTGTTACTCATAATCAAGGAATCATATCTAAATAGCTTTGATTTTTCAAAACTTTCTGGGGGTGCATATCAAGTCCCCTCTGAGAAGGAAAGAGTGAGAAAACAGCAAATCTGTGTCCAATTCTCACCCTCACATTTACTTAATAAATTACTCCTTGTGAACATATTTTAAGGTAACATTTACAATGATAATAATACTCACAAGTTGTTTAATTTTTTCGGTAGTTGAGTATTCCCTGAAAGTATAAAAGATTACATTTTGTTCAGATAATGAACAACCACTTACATATACATAGAACTGAACTTGTCCATTTATGACCACGTACATGTAAATCCCATTAGGAAAATACTGTACTCTCACTTTTACCTGCCATTTGAACTGGATGGATTTGGTTCAATATCTCTACCATTGTCAAAAGCCTTAAAAAAAGAAACAAAAGGTGGTTTGATTACTTTAAACAACTGAAAATTATAATTAACCATCTCTCACCTGAATCAAACCTTAAGTCAACTAATCTTGTGTTTTTCTGTGTAACCATTCAGATGATAGCTGTTGATGAGCACTATACGTAATAAAAATAGAGCTGTAACCAGGATAAGACATATTAAAGTGAAAAAACATTCTCTGGTTAAAAAAAATCAAAAACATAAGCTTTCTGCTATCAGTCTTTAGCATCACCCAACCAGTGGACTAATGCAAATCCTGCATTTTAATTGGCTACGCTACTAGAGGACTATTAGTAATAGTCCTCGAGTAGCAAAATTGACGCAATCAAGCGTGACGTTCTCTTTCGTTTTATTACCAAATAAATATTTCTTCAACTTGCATTTGCTAACTTTATTATTGCCTTTTCTGTCCTACTAGTTGAGTGATACTAAAACAGTTGGACCCTTCGCCCTCAAGGGCCACGGGTCAGTAGCCCATTTGGCTTTGCCTCATGGGCTATTGACCTGTAGCCCTTGTGGGCTGCGGGTTCAATTGTTAAATAGCCTTTAACGAAAGAAAAATGTAAGCATGCGAATGGCATATATACGAAAAGGGGTGTGAAAAAATGTTATAAAAATAGAATACAAAAAGAAGTGTGAAAAAAGATACAAAATAAAAATGTAAATACATGTAAGGTCTAATTACAGTAAACTGAAATATTGCCTACCCAACGGTTTTAAGTTGTTATCCGTATCAACGGTTTTAGCTGTGTGCCAGGATTCTAGTGTTTTTCGAACGTGGTAGTTGCCTTTGTCAATAACACAAGCATTATCGAAGTCCACGGAGTGGTTGTTTTGCCATGCATGGTTTGCAACATTTGAGCCCTTTGTATAGTTCTTCAAATTTTGTTGATGTTCCGTTTTGCAGGTTTGGAAGCATCTTCCGGTTTCTCCTATGTAGTTCCAAGGACAGTCTTTGCATGGGATTTTATAAACAACATTACATTGGAGATCTGAAGGTTGTCTGAACTTCAGAGACGGGAATTCTTCTTGAAGGGATGGCCGAAAGCTTATGTTTTTAATCTCTTTCAACCAGAGAACATTTTTTTCACTTTACTATACATAATATTCATTCCTAAATTTACAATGTATGTTAACAGCCACTGGACTTATTTTACGTACATGTACATTAACTTCATGTGGTGTTTGGTTGTTGTACTCCTCTGGAAGGTAGGTTCTGTAATTTAAGCAAATATTGGTGATTATAATCCATCAAATATTTTTGCAAACTAGAGTAGTCAAATAGAGTTGCAAACTACTGAATGTAACAAAGACACTTGTAACTTGTTTTTCACTGAATGACTGTGGTACACGCACTGTATATACATGTAACAGTACATTTCTCCATGCAAGCTTGGTAAATACAATGTACAGTAGGACATTTATTTGATTGCAAGACTACATGATTGAAAAAGGGTACCAGAAACTTTACCCAGATGAATAATTAGAAAGCGTTAGGACTGACGTAGTTAAGCTCACAGCCTCTTTAACTGTTTTGTTATGTAAGGTTTAAGCTGTTTATCTGTATCAATCAAACTTAAAACAGTGGAAGCACTTACCCATTTAAGGGTGGTAATGATGATAGGTCATGTGAGGCTGTATTTACCTTTAATAAAAACAAAACCAAATAGTCACCCAAGAAGCCATGTATTAGTAATAGACGTATTAACAAACAGCAAGACAACACAAAAGGTTCAAATGAGACTGTTGACTTGGAAATAATTACACACTGTTTTACTTGTTTCTCTATGTAGTCAACACATTTAATGGCTTTGTTGTGAGTTAACTACACATGAGTGTAGATGTTTCTGGTTTGAAATTTTATTTTTAATTCCATTTTCCTTAAAATCAAACTAGTTTCCAAGCAAAAACAAAGATAAATCAGGATGACAATACTAGCCTCCTGCTATAGTTGCACATGCACATTCGTGAGGCCCTATTAGGGGTTTCTGGAATATGGAACATTCTGGTCAAAATTAGCAGGATGAAGGATACTTGGGGGCAAAATTAATGGGATATGGGATATTAAGAACAATATCCTGGGATATCGAGTCGAAAAATTGTTAATTTTTACAATTGGAATTACCAGGATACACATGTATGTAGGCCAAAAATTAACAGCACATGGGATACTCAGACACCCCCTGAGGGGACCTCGTTCAGCCTTTGTTGTGACAAATTAACAAATATATATATAAAATCTTCTTTTTGATTTATACATGTACTTCCTTAATGATGCAGGAAGAAAAAGGGTGATCTATGATCTTACACAACTAGTTTTAGTTAAATTGCTGAATGGCTACAAGGGTAAACATGACAGTACTTAAATTGTCTACTGAGAGACTTTGCAATATTCTTTCAGCTGTGTAAATACTATTTTACCATAATGATTATAAATACCCTTTGAATTACAGACTGGTTTGACCCAGCGGAATAATGTATTTATAGCATTAGATGTACTTTGTATTTGGCTTAGAACTACAATAATTAAACCAAAACACAAAATAGTGATTTCCACAGTACTGCAAGCCACTGTAACTTCATTTTGTCTTTCGCTTTTCGTACTGACTGTATAATGTACAGTTGAATTTATTTAAAAGCATTTTAAAGAGAATCCAATTCCAAATTATTCGTTCCAAGTTTTTAGGCAAAGCCCTCATCTGGATTGTATTCCACGGAGCAGCATTTTGAGAAATTTGTCTCACAAAAGTAAAACAATAAATTTAAAACAAACAGCATGAAGAACTTCAACCTGAGAATGTGATGGTCAGGTTAATATCGAGAGACCATGCCCTGATTAAGGAGTGAAGCATGGTAAACAAAAGACTTTAAGAGATATCGAGACCAATCTCATTTTGCTAAACCTCTGAAGACTTTTTTAGCCTTAAATAAAGAGAAATTGAGACTCTGAAGTGGTGTTGTGAAAAACATATTTAGTTTTTATTATAGCATTTTAGCCTTATTTTAATTTGTAGTTTTTTATTTATACGCTCACTAGAATCTTCAGAATTGAAGGAGGTGAGTCAC